GCAACCAAGTCATTCCTCTTATAAACAATGTCTAGTCCCTTAGAAAACATAGTTAAACAAAGCGGTGTCGGGCGCGGCGGTCCCATACCAGACGTAAAAATATTTTGGTGTCGGACCTCACGGTCGCATCACACATGAGTTTTTAAATTGCATTAGCTGAATACCACTCTGACTGTGCATACCAGCTATACTTCTCTCGGCTCTTTGCGACAAGACAAAGTCCCCGTGAGGTACAACCTACCTCCACCATCGGGAGCTATCACCATCCCTTAGGTGGGCATATCCCTGTCGAGCTACTGACCCACGTGCGAAGGCTTTTACATGCAATCGCAGAGGTAGGTCAGCCGACGGTGTTTTCTCGATCGCCGTAGCATAGGCATACGCACGGTAGAACGCCTTAAGACTGACCTGTATATTGTGCACCGAGAGGTAGTCCCTCGGACCGATTATTCGATCAGGTCGACTTTTCTGGACAGTCTTCCACTCTTAAGTTATCTATAATAATGATTTTGCACTGCTTGTTGAATCAAGTGGGAACTTACAGCGGTTCCCTTGCCTTGAGTAGTCGTCAGTCTAACCTTCTTAATTACCTCCCGCTTGCTCAAAAATTCCAATAGAACCTTAGACCATAACTTGCTAAAGTCTAGGCCAAGATATGGTCTTGTACATAGATATGTATATGTAAACATATACATTTTTTCAAATATCTCAGATGATCACTCAAATTTCAATTGCCTATCAAGGTCCAACACATGTGTCAATCTAACAAAATCACATACATGCATACAAAATACAGACACAGAATGCACTACAAGCGTCAACTTTAATCCATGCACGGCTAGTCCCTCACTCCCCCAAAACCTCGAACAACACTTTTTCCTACTCCTGACCCCTTTTGCCCAGCCCCTACACAAATTCAAAGACCTTTGGGAATGACCGGGACCATTCAGGCGTAGACACAGGGGAAGCTTCATCTGCTCCTTCGATTTCGTCTTAGGTATGGGTATCGAGTCATGTGGAAGTTGAGTCGGAATTCTACCGACCTGTTATCCAATGATAACAGAGCTTCCGTTCCTTACGGATTTCTGCCGTAATTTCCTCCAAGAGTGATGGAAACCTGTAGGCACAACACAATGCGAAAGAAGCTTAACATCCCTTTTTTCCTATCCTGGGATCTAGAAGATTCCTCCTAGACCTTATGACCTAGAGATTGACGCTACCGGTGACCTCTGTCTTTATCCTCGGCTAATTGCAAGACTGTTGCCTTATGGTTTGAACAATAGTTCAATCCTCCTTCATTAGACTTCGTCATCCTAGATCATCTTTGCTTATTTCTCTTCTTATTCTTTTGCGGTTATCTACCTAAGTTTTTCTTCTTGTCTCCTCCTGTTTAGCCACTTTCCTCTGCTTTCTTTCTTCTTCGTATGCTCAAGCAATCATCGTCAAACCATCTCCGAACAGAGTCATATGATAGAATCAATCAGAGATTCCAAGATAGTTGGTAGGTCTCACGGGGCCACGTTTCTACCATCCTCACCTCAATAGAATAAGAAAAGTGGTTTTGTCAATAATTGATCGCCCTCCTTTCATGCTTTTACTGTCTTCTGTTGATCAAGATGACCAGTGACATAGTGGTAGATCTCTCGGGATTTACTACAGTGCGGCCCAAATCAGTGGGCAATCGGTCAGACCCTATGAGGTCTATTCATCTTCATTTCGCGTCTGATTGTGATAGGCCAGACCTCAAGGGGTCTCGCTTCTCCTATTCACTGACTCGCATTGGATCAAGGGCGGCTGGTAATAAGGCAAGCTTCACGGAGCCTTGCATCTCTTACTACCATCTTCCTTATCCATGCGACTGGGCGATAGGGCAGGCCTCTCGGGGCCTAGTTCCTCCTATCTCTGACTCCTATTAAAGCACAGTTGGTGGGTAATAAGGCCGGTTTCACGGAGTCTTGCTTCTCTTACTACCATCTCCCTTATCCGTGCAAAATTAATTGATAGGGCAAGCCTTACAGGGCCTAGCTTCTCCTATCGCTGACTTGCATTGAAGCACGGCCGGCGGGTAATAAGGCAGGCTTCACGGAGCCTTGCTTCTCTTACTACCACTCCCTCATTCGTGCGAACCTAGGCGATAGGGCAGGCCTCTCGGGGCCTAGCTCCTCCTATCACCCACGCAAGTCTCTCTAGACGACTTGGTTGTCTTAGGAGTTTGACGCCTCGTATTCTTTGGATTACTCGGAAGTCTTTAAGTTATGTGGGTAGGCCATACGAGATCTGTGCCCCACGATTGAGGCAACCCACAACAAGGTGGTTCACTTGGGAACTCCCTCCTCACTGCGTACCTTAAAGATCTTCAGCCTGATTTTTGACATATGTTAGTTTGAGATGGCGCCAGGGTTAGACAGGCGTAAGGAAAAGGTTAATCAATGCTGCTCATTCTCACAGTACTTTTGGTCAATAGCATAGAATCTCAACAAGCATAGTCACCCACAATCCTTCAGCCCATCCGAACTCACTGTGAGCCTCGTTTTTCATCTATGTCAGGTGGCCTTATTAAGCAAGGCAAAACTTCACGGAGTCAATTCCCTTGCTGCCACATTTCCCACAAATAAACACTCACATAGCAAGACGGTTTTCATGGGAACTTCTCGTTCTCGCTATGTTTTTAAACATCAATTAGTCATACGCAGTCTATATCCAGATCCCTTCCACACAACCAGTTTTGTTCATGCCGAGGTTTTTCTCTTTACTCTAATATTAAAGTTTTGAATACAGACAATCTCACTTCCTTAGCTTGAGTTTAGTCCTGAAGAAATTCCCGACACCAAAGTACCCTCTTTATTAATACAAACACAGACAATCATGTAAAGGTTATAGGTTTTAAGGGGCTTATAAGTTAGGCTGGAGTGTGCGTGCCTTATTGTTCCCTGCCTCTAGAGTCCCGCCTGAATTCCGACAGAGCTCTCGCAATCGCCCTGTCATCGGTCATGCTTAGTCTACGCAATTGATTGCTCAGACCTTTAAAGTTAGCGAAGCAAGGGTTATCTCAGTGGAACTTGCCAGCAAACACTTATAGTCAGAGGGATAGGTGTCAGAGAGGATCCAATGGAGAAAAGAATGGAGGAGGTAGATACCATCACATAGTAACAATGCGTCCCTCTTCTTCAGTACCTAGCATTCTCTTCATCTTCTAGCCTCCGTTTAACACATGATGTCCAATAATATCAATAGCAAAGTAAATAATAGTAATAATGATAATTAATAATAAGAATAATGACAATAGTCATAGTGGAAATAATGATAATAGTAATAATAATAATAATAATAATAATAATAATAATAATAATAATAATAATAATAATAATAATAGTAAAATAATGAAAGTGGTATCTAGTTGGCGTTCTTGAATGACCAAAGTGAAGGCATAAGTCGTGTATTGATGTTTTTTCTGTGATAAAACTCTTCCCTTGTCACCTTCTTCTCTCACCTCTCTCTCTCATCTCCCTTTCTTTTTGCCCACATTCGCCCCTTTTGTTTTCATCACACAACCCTGGTCATAGCAGCCTGCTTGTTGCACCACATGCGTGTCTCAAGGACAGTGTGTGGGTGATTGCTGCCCTGCCTGCCTGCAAGATCATGCTGGCACGGGCATGTTGTTTTGCAGGCTTATCTGAATGTCGCGCGGCCCATGTTCGTCTTTCCGCGTTATGTGCTTGCCAGCTGTGCGGGTGCATGCCTGCTGTTCTATACGTCTGGCCATAGCCTGCCGGCGTCCCGCTGTCTGGGCGTGACCCACACCACTTTAATGCCCATGTGCGGATGTGGCGGCAATGCTGCTTTCTCAGTGGCCCGCAGCCACTTGTGATGTCCCCAGCCTCACGCTGCATGTGCTCAGAATGCCACCGCCTCCGTAGTAGAGTCTTCCGGAGGGATCCCTGGGGTGAGGCCCCGATTGCACTTCCAACCAATCATCGTGCAGCACTGTCTAAGACCTACTTTGGAAACTGTTGAGGTAAAGGCCCCTTGCGGTCCTTCAGGCCAGCCCTCACTTAGGGAGGTCACGAGGCTGGTTGGGGTCACAAACAAAACATGAAAATAAAATAATAATAATAATAATAATAATAATAATATTATTATTATTATTATTATTATTATTATTATTATTATAATAACAACAACGTAAGGCCATGGGTAAAGCAATCAGACAGATTGCAGGTGGTGAGATCCCATTGAAAGCCAGGAAGCTCTACACTGTCCGGAAAGCAGGATTGCACCGATGTATCACCAAGGAGAACTAATGACTGAATCCGAGTGTCAATGAGAGCATACTCTCGCCATCACCCTCATGAGTACCTAGAGCCTATCCTCCTATCTGGCGCTCGGTGCCCAGGCTACGATGACACAGCTCCTATCAGCCTATGAATTGACAATGCAACTGCTGACGTCAGCAGCCGAAACGTGGTACATGAAGATGTCGACCCTGGCAGACCATCACCAAGACCAGGTACGTGTCTCTCTCCTCTTCCTCTCTATCTCTCTTTCTCTGTCCCTCTCTCCCTTTGTATGCTACTGTCTCTCTCTATGTGCCACGGTGTATCTGTGTTTTGAGCGTCACTGTGTATCTGTGTGCTTGCGTAGGTGTCATTGTGACTGTTACCGTGTGACTGTGTATGTGTCACTGTACATCTGTGTGACACGGTGCACCTGTGTATCTGTGTATGTGTCACTGTGACTGTGTCACTGCGCATCTGTGTGTTTCACTGTCTGTGCGTACGTCACAGTGTCTGTGTTTGTTCCACTGTGTATGCGTGCATGTGTATCCCAGTGTCCACAAACGTACCTATCCAGTGTGATGCATTCACACAGACTAGCAAACACATAATTTTTAGTGACCATACATACACACCCAGTGATTATGGCAAAATACAGTGATCTGTACAAGTCACTCAGTTTAATAGCGGACTCAGCAGCAACCTAGAGGGATACCGTCAGAGGCTGTCTGCTGAGAAATCAATTTATCAAACTGCTGAAAAGTTCTGCCGCAGCAGTAGTGCAATCAGACTCGACCTCTTCACACTTGTCATGCATGCAAACAGCGAAATAGCAAACTGGCGACATGCGCCCACACAGTGCTCAAAGATATCGTAACCAGGTAAGAGTTCTCTTCAAACTGGCTATGGCGACTGAGCGCCCACACAACTCACTGTTCGCACTCTGGCTCACCCTGGATGTCCCACACGCAACACTCTACACGCAACACACACACACACACACAGGCTACTATAGCTATGGCAGCTATGGCTGCCACTACCCTATCGCTACACTACACCT